TGGAGATTGACTAGGATGCAGTCAAAGCAAGCAGCTGTGCTGAAGCCAAGTCAAAGGCTGGGGAGGCGAAGATGCGCACAGAGAGGGAAGGAGACAGCAGGGCAGGTGCAGCTGACCATAGGGAGCCTCATGCCCTGCGGTGGGAAGAGGGGCTCAGCGGGTGCTACCCTCACAGCCTTGTGGCCCACCTGCCTCACGCGCAGGCATGAGTCCCCTCCCTTAAGGTGCCAGGACCCACCTCGGGGGTTCTCTCCTTCCGCTGAGGGCCCTGCCTGTCCTCTGCTGACCAGGCTGCTGCAGACCACACCTGAGGACAGGCCTACACTGCCTCAGTGGCTTCTACTGCCTGAAACTCTGTACCCACTCCTGGGGGCACTCCGAGCAGAGTGTCCACCTGGGCTGGGGCACAGGGGGCCAGCTGGTGGCCCCCCTAGAGGTCACTCTGTTGGTGGGGTGAGGACAAGTACCTGCCCGTCCAAGGCTGAGGGGCACGGGTCCTGCAGGCAGGCCAGGGCAGGGAGGGGCTGGTCATCCTACCAGTCAGGCCTCGGCGGGAGCCACATCAACCATAAAGAAAGGGCCTCTGGAGCAGACTGGGCAGGCCATGGAGAATTACAGGGGCAGGGGGCTAACCACCCCTCCCCAAGCTGCTTGTGCAGGAGCCAGGAGTGGGTCTTGGCCACTGCACCAGCCAGGCAGGGCAGGATAAAGATAACAACCTCGACAACAGTGGCTGCTATGATTTCTTACCTTACTAAGAGATTTCTGTACCCTTGCCAAGTTCTCACAAAACCTCAAGAGCTCAGTACTGTTAACATTCCCCTAATACAGACAAGGAAACAGGCTCAGAGAGGTTTAGTAACTCACCGAGGTAGAGAGGAGCCAGCACCCTGCATTCTAGAGCCCCTGTCCTGGACACACCAAACATGCTTCCCACCCCAATGCAGCCTCTCTGGGAACCCCACTCAGCCCCCAACCAGGCTCCCAGGACATAAGCTGAGACGCCATGCTCTCTGCACAGGGACACAGCCACGGGTCTGCAGGGGCTCCTCAGGACTCCCGGGGCGGCCTCCTCAGCAGGCGGCCAGGGCGAGCTGGGACAACATGGCAGAGAGAGAGGAGCCAAGCGAGCCCAGGTTACCCTGAGGACGCCTGCCATCTGGAGAGGAGCTGCCAGCAACCAAAGACCCCAACAATGAACGCACAGTCACAGAGGGGGCTCCCAGAGGCTTCCCGGGGCAGGGCCCTCTGCCTGACACTCGAGGGTGAGCAGGAGTGACTGGAGGTCACTTCCTGCAGAGGGAGGGCCAGGCAGGGCCAAGGCCTGGTAGGAGGAGGGGATGTGGCAGGAGGGGTGTGCCGGGTGCTTTGGGGACTGAACTGAGGACTTTGGACTTGGACACGGCCTCTTCCCACTGTCCTCTCTTGAGCCCGTTCTACTAGGCCCCAGCTGCCAGCGGTGAGCCCAGGGCAGTGCCTTGCAGCTCCCTGCCCAGCTCTCCTAGCACAGGAGGTTGGCACAGAGCCAGGCACAAGGGGGGCCCTGGGATTGCTGGTGGGTGTTCAATCAGGTGCCACGCCTGGCCCACTGATCTCCATCGACCACTGCTGGGATGGCGCAGGGCTAGACCACCCTGCCACACAGCTCTGGGCAAGCTGCCTGGCCTCTCTGCGCTCCCACTGCCTCATCTCTCAGAGGTGCTGAAGGGGTTACACAAACTCATGCTTGGAAAGCCACAAGCAGAGGGTCAGTCTCTCAGCAGCCTTCGCCTCTGGGGACAGCTCCACAGGCCGCAGCCCCCACAATTAGAGAGGCCACGCAGGATGATGCTCACTTTCTGGCTTTGGATCCTGCCAGACTTCATTCCCACCCTGGCTCCATCTCTCGGTGGCCATGCGACCCTGGCAAGACACAGGTCCTCCCTGAGCCTGTGAGGCCCTGAGCCCAGCGCCTGGCACACAGGACGCACTCCACACACATCCTCCACTCCTTGAAAGGACCTGTCCCTCATTCAATAAAGGAGCAGCAGAGGAGGGGGCTAGAATGACTGTGCCCATTTCACAGACAGGAAACAAGAGGCAGGAACAGGCAGCAAGGAACTTCTCTACAAGCTGGAAGCTGACCTCTCGCCTGACAGTGCCAGGGGCAGCCAGCATCCTGTCACTCCTAAACACTGATCACGCCAATGCCCACCAGGGGTTGGAGGTGGGTGGCACAGCCATTTTCCTTTCAAACACTTCCTGCCTGCCCAGAGGGAAGAGACAGGCCTGGGGCGCCAGATGGTCATGCCCAAGAGGAAAGCAGATGTCAGAGAACAGCCAGGAAGTGCATCTCCAGGTGCTGTGTGAGCACTGCCCTCAGCTCAGGGTAGAGGAAGGAGCACTGAGCAGGGAGTCAGGAGGACCCTGTGTGCCTTCCCCTCTCTGGGCCCCAGACCCCTGATCTCTGGAGGGTCCCCCTGCTCTGACACTCGGGAAGTCAGTCCTGGGTCAACCTAGCCTGTCCCAATGTCTTCTCTCCCCACCATCACCTCCCATTCCATTCTGAAGCATCTTGTAATTTCCATGGGCCAAAGTGCCTGCGTCAGCCCCATCCAGGAAAAGACTGTCCAAATGAATGGGTGTGCTTAAAACCCAAATGCGTCCGTGAGCACCACATGGGCAGTCACCATTCTGGGTTCCAAGAGCAGGCGGCTCGGCCTGGAAGCCTCCAAGGGGCCTCACGACTCACCAGCACATGAAAGCAATTTTCTGAACATTTCACGGCTGCTCCAGAAATGAACTTCTCCTCCCAGCCCCGCAAGCTCACACGCTGCCCAAGGTCTCAGGGGAGAGTTAGGGTGATCTGAAAGCCCAACCACATAGGGGACAGAGGGTGAGAACCCCGCTGATCCTGTGCAGAATCCCCGGGGGCTGTGGCTGCAGGAGAGAGGGTGGGAAGTGACTTGGAGCTGGCAATGGTGTGGACAGACTGAGCAGACCTCAGCTGCAGGTCTCCACAGCAGTGCCTGTCTGTCCAAGTCACACCCAGTCCCTGGTACGCCTGCCATTCCTCTCTTGTTACAGATGGGGCTACTGAGGCGCAGAGCCCAGGAAGGCTGCCCAAAGTCCTGTAAGCCAAGGGGTCTGGGTGCCATCTCAGACTCCATGTCCAGATCTCTGCTGTGACTGGGGACAACCAAGCCAAATCAACAGCTGACCTCCCCAACTGAGGTCTGTCCAGGCTCTGATGTGACCTGAGTCACATTCCCTGTTCCCTACTGCCCTGGAGACACAGGACCTCAAGCAGGCCCAGGTGGTCCACCGCATACCTCCGGTCAGTGCCCACAGGGTCAGGGCAGGTCCCTGGGCCAAAAAAGATCCAGAGTTTTACAGGAAAGCAGAGCAGGAGAGAAAAAGGGCTTGACGGGCATTTTCTGTTTTCTTTCTTTCTTTCTAAAGATGAGACAATTATGCTCTGAACCAGAACAGATGGGGGGGCGGGGGTCACATCGGCACAGCCTGGAAGCCCTAATTTCTTCATCTGTAACTCGGCATTACCGCTTCTGGAGGCGGGCAGGAGCGGGGATCTTTAATTCCGTAATAACAATGCTTTGCACTTACACAGCATCTCTCCTCCAGTAATCTCCCCACACTCTATGGTGGTTAATTAAGAGGCCACTTGCCCTGCCAGGAAGCCCCAACTGTCTGCTTCAATGTAAGGACCGGATTCCCCAGGTGAGGAGCAGTCCCAGAAGCAAGACCAGGCAGACAGGCTTCTGGCCCATTGCCCCTTCCTGTCAGAGGGAAAAGCCCCTAACTCAGCAGAGAAACAATGGCTGGAGACCACAGCTTTCCAGCCTGCAGAGGGCACTCCTTCCAAGCAGGATGCAGGGTGCCAGCCCCCACCTCAGTCTGTCCATCTGTAAAGCGGGTTGGGGCCTGCACCTGAGGCCTCCTGACAGCAGGTAGCCAGGATCACTTGCCACCCTCAGATGGTGGGGCCCAGATGCCTCCAGATTGTGGTCTAAGTGTGGAGCCAGGCCTGGGGGCTGCCCAAGCCTGCCTGCTGGGCCAGGCAGAGGGGGTGTCAGGCAAGAGAAGGCCCCTGGCTAGGAGGGAGGGAGGTGCCAGGGCCCTGCACCCTGGGCATCCAGCGGCCGAGGAAAACTTCTCGGGAAAGTGAGTGCATCAGCTGTTCTGGGGGACAGGCACAGATCCCCACTTGGCCAAGCTGTCCTGGGGTAGGGGTGTCTGGGGAGAGGTACAGACTGGCCCAGGGCCAGCTATCTTGGTGGGATCCTTGGAGTACAGGAGGACAGCTACCTCACGTAAGGTTTCCTGGGTGACAGCACCCACCTCCCTCCCTCACCCAGCCTAGCCGTCCTGGAGAGGGGGTTTCAGGGAGCAGCACAGACCCCTCCCCACCAGGCCTGGCCATCCTGGTGGGAGAGAGGGTCCTGAGGGACAGCACTGACTCCTGCCTGGGCCAGCTGTCCCAAGGGTTTCCCGAGGGCCAACAAAGACCTTGCCAAGTCAGCCTTCCTGGGGGGCTCCCCGAGAGAACAGCACGGACCACAGCCCGACCCGGCTCTCTAGGGCGAGGATGAAAAGAAAGGCAGGGGCAGAGAGGCCGGCTTGGGGGAGACGCCCCCATCGGCCCCCATCCCCGGCCCGAGATGGCCCAGGTGGGGCGCCTCCCAGCCCGGGAGCCCCTGGGGCATTAGGCCTGCAGCGGGCGGCACGAGGTCGCAGGCCCGGCCGGGGCAGCAGACCCCGGGTCCCGGCCGGCGGTCGATACTCACCGGCACGGACATCTTGGCCGCCGCTCCCAGTGCCCTGGCGGGCAGCGGCGCCAGCAGGCTGGGGGCTCCGGTCTGCCGCACAGCTCAGAGCCCCCGGCGCGGGGTCCAGCGCTCTCGGGGGGGGTCCCCGCCGGCTGCTGCGCGCTCCCGCTGGCCGGACAGTCCGGCGGCTCCAGCCCGCGCGGCGCATGCGCCGCCCCGCACCGCCCCTCCCCCTCCTGTCTCCTCCGCCGGGGGGCCGCGTTAAAGGCGAGGACCCTGGACCCCGGCATTTTTCTGTCGGCCCAACGCGGCGAGGCGGCGAGGTGGCTCGGTCTCCACCCGTTACCCATCCTTCAAGGGCCACCTCGAGTCGCACCATCTCCTGTTCGCCCACCCGGTTCTGGAGACCAGAACCTCCACCCCCGACTTTGTCCAGCCCAGGGTGCTGGGCGCCTGCCATGTGGTCCTTGCCGGGCTCCCAGCCTCTCTTCTGAAGGCGATTGCAGGTCAGTCAAGCAGGGCTCCTAGGAACCCTTCCCACTGCCCCCGCTGAAAAGCCAGAGACCCCAGGTACCCCACACGCGGCCCTGCCCAGGGCTCCTCTGCCTACTCTGCGCTCCCCACTGCCCCTCCCCCAGGGACGGGGAGCTCCCGATTCCCCCGGAACAGCCTGGCTCGTTGTCAGGTCACCCTGACAGAGCTGGACTGGCTTTTAGGAAGGATCCTGTCTCCTGGTCACCCCCACTCATGGGCCCACCCACAGCCAGGCCGTCCCTACGCCAGGGGCCAGCCCTCAGACACTAGAAGACAGGCTTTGGGGCCAGAGATTTCCTTTCCCCAGGTTAAATACCCCCGATTTCTTCTGCTGTTCCTCATCGGACACAGTGTCCAAACACCGTACCGACAGGCAGTGGGCACATATATGTGCGACCTAATTTCCCCACCCCCTGCCAGGTACGCCTTGCTGTTCCCATGTTGTATTTAACATGCTAGACTGAGGCTCTGAGACCCCTCAGCTACCTGAAGGCAGAACCAGGGGGCTGACCACTCTGTTCTGCTACCCATCACAGACAGCCTGTCTCTGCTCCCTGGGGACCCTGCTTGGGCAAAGCCAGACCTGAGAATTGGCTGCTACTGCCCAGGTAGGATGAGTGAGTGCCTAGACCAGGGTTCCAGGGGCCAGGGCAGTGTCCGGGGAGGTCAACACTGCTGCCCACCACCTGGAGAAGAAAGACAGAGCCGGTTCCATAATGCTGGCTGGCAGCAGCATGGCTCATGGTGGGGACATGAAGGACAGACAGACAGTGCCAGCCCCTGTGGGGGCAGGTGCCCAGGGGGACAGGCTTATTCTGTCTGCCAAGTGTGCAGTATCAGGAGGCCTAAGGTGACTGAGCAGAGGAAGGGAGCAGTGACAGGTGACAGGTGGGTTTCCCCAGAGACCCAGATCTGGCCCCCAGCTCCCCAGACCTCAAAATCCCCCATTAGCAGACCATCCTTTGGGGTTTTGGAGGCTTTTCAGTCTTCATCTCCAAGAAGAGGGGCTGCCTGGGTCTTTCTCCTCCTGGAGGGTCCTGGGGAGAGTCCTAATAGTGGCCACCAGCCATGAGAGGGGTAATAGATGTGCAAAAAAGGGGGAAGTTGAGGCCTGCCATGTTTCCCAGGTCCTGGTTCTAGGACTGATGAGCTGGGGTCCCTCCCTGCTCCAGCTGAGCAGGGTTGCCCTGCTTTACCCCTTGAGTGGGGGCTCCGCAATTGTGTACCTCGCTTTCCCCAGCGCAGTGCTGGGCAAGTTCTTGTTGGAGGGGGCAGGCAGGGCCACAGCAAGCAGAGGGGGGTCTGGGCTGACAGCTGCCACCTCCTCAAAGGGCGCTCTGTGTGTGCCTGGCAGGCAGCCCTGCCCGTGCCCACCCGCCCGAATCCAGCTGGCACAGGGGCTCCTGAGCTGGGAGCAGCAGCTCAGCCTGGCACCCGGGCTCCCAGTCACACACGGCCGCTGTCTCTGAGGCCCCCACTGCCACCCTGGCCCCCTCCCTCACTGAGCCTCCGTCCTAGCGCCCTGGCTCCTCCCCCCTCCTTCTCTCCTACTTGAGCTGGATTCTTTTCGCCCACTGTTTCTGTCTCCTCTCCCATCGGCCCCATCTCTAGGTGCCCTGCCAGAACTGAGAGAACAGTGAGAAAAAGACCCCTTCCACCCTGCTGGTATAGAGAAATGGAAACCCAGGGGAGGGTGGCAGCTGGGGCCAAGACCTCCAAACCACCTGCTCCTTGCCTCCAACTGACCCCCAACAACTGCTCATGGCTGCTTACTCAGGGAGGGCACCACTAACTCATCCTTTAGTGCAGAAAGAGGGATCCCTGGCTGGACCCTCACTTACTCCAAGGCAGGGACCCAGGGCCTTGGGTGTTGGGTTGGGGGCGGCCAGAGGAGCCCCATCAGGGCACTGAGTGGCCTCCCTTGACACTACCAGGTGTCTGGGAAAGCGGCAGATGCTCCTCCCTCACCACCCCCATGCATCCCCCACTTTCCAGCAGGCAAATGATCCCAGGATGACTCATTCAGTCCTGCAGAGAACAGGCTGTGGGGGCCTCATGACTAACAGTTCACACCAGAAGCAACTGCTGGGTGGGCTGAGTAGACACCAGCGCCCTGAGAGGGGCCTTGAAGGATGACCAGGGCCCCAGGGAGACAGGGGTTATTCTTGTCCCTGGCACTGGGAGGGAAGGGAATTTGGACATGGCCACAGAGTAAATCTGAGCAGAGACAAGCTTCACGCCTAGTTCTCCAGACACCAAGCCCGGCCTCTGTTGCCTGGAGCATGCTGTGTCTAGAGTGGCTGAGGCCTGGGAGATGGCTTCTTCTCCCCCAGCCTCCCAGGGTAACTAGGGACCTCTCTGGCGGAGGGGCTCCTGGCCCAGGAGAATGTATGAGCCTTTGGAGGCACCTGTGGGCACTGTGTCATAATCCTACATTAGCATGGTGCATCTGTCACCACTGATGAACCAACATCGACACATCCTTATAAACTAATGTCCATGCTCTACTCATATTGCCTTAGCTTTTCCCTACTGTCCTTCTTCTGTCCTGGGATCCCTTGTTACATTTAGTCTCCTTGGGCTCCTCTGGGCTGTGCCGCTTCTCAGACTTTCCTTGTTTTTGATGAGCTTGACAGTACAGTGGAGTACTGGTCCACGATTTTGTAGACTGTCCCTCAGTGGGGATTTGTGTGATGTTTTTCTCATGGTTAGACTGGGGTTATGGCTTTTTAAGAGGAAGACTCCAGAAGTAAAATGCCCTTCCTCTCACATCGTATCGAGGATATCAACAGGACTTCTCTCTGTTGATGTTGACCTTGACCACCCGGCTAAGGTGGTGATTGTCAGGTTTCTCCACTATCAGATGACTCTTTTCTCCCTCACTTTCTCTACTGTACTCTCTGGAAGGAGTGACACTCCACCTCCTTGAGGACAGAGTATCTACAGAAACTATTTGGAATTCTGTGTGGGAAATTGGTCTCTTCTTCATTTATTTACTTATTCAATCATTTGTTTATATCAGTATGAACTCGTGGGTATTTATTTCATAGTTTGGATTATAATCCAGTACTACTTTATTTTCTTGCTCAAATTGTTCCTGCTTTGGCGATTGGGAGTTCTTTCAGTTGGCGAATCAGATTTTTCAAGAGAATCTAGAAATCCAGATTGTTTTATAAAATCTCTGGATTTTTGAACCATTGACTGAGTAAGCCCAACAAATTCTTTCTCAGGCCAATCCTGCGCAGCTCTGGGCTCTCTCGAGTCAGGTGACCTGGTTTGAATCCTGCTCTGCTCCTTGCAGCTGAATGACCTTGTGTATGGGAGTTAACCTGCCCGGGTGTCAGTTTTCTCATCTGTGAAATGAGAGGATAAAACTCCCTGGGTGGTTGGGAGGATTCGGTTGAATGACTCAGGTAAAGTTGAGGGCACTAGAATCCTTGCTTGTTAAGCAGCAGGGGCCATCATTGCCACATGCACGAGCCAGGTGTGGTTGAGCAACTCCCGATGGAGGGCAAGAACTGAGTCTGTTTTGGGAATACCTATATAGAGACTTCAGGGTTGGGGGTGGCTGACGGGACCCTGGGAGCTCTGGAATGGATGAGAAAGGGAATGCCCCACCCCAAGCCTGGTTTTCAACATAAGAGTCGAGCTCTACGATTCTGTAGTAATATCACATCGACAGGATGGGGAGTACCCAGAGCCAGATGTCCTGTCTTACTCAGTCTAAACTGTTAATGACTACCTCTCTTCAGGAAGGCAAGTCAGACTGGCACAGAAAGAGAAGCTCAGCCGAGTGGAGTAGATGGGAAACCCACTGGCCCGCCAAGCTAGCCCTTGGTCCTGGCACCACTTCACATGTACTTCATGACCTTAAGCAAGTCCAGTTTTTTTTTTTTTTTTTTTTTTGAGGAAGATTAGCCCTGAGCTAACTACTGCCAGTCCTCCTCTTTTTGCTGAGGAAGCCTGGCCCTGAGCTAACATCCGTGCCCATCTTCCTTTACTTTATATGTGGGACGCCTACCACAGCATGGCTTTTGCCAAGTGGCACCATGTCTGCACCCGGGATCCAAACCAGTGAACCCCGAGGCCACCAAGAAGCAGAACGTGCAAATTTAACCGCTGTGCCACCGGGCTGGCCCAGCAAGTCCAGTTTCCAACATCCTTGAGGGTAATTTCACAGTCTGGTCAAAGGTGGGCCCTGGGGGCTGGGGCAGGGAACCTCCTTGTCTGTCCTTCATGCACAGAACCTTGGGTATACTCTGCCTAGGAGGCATCTGGTTAGGAGAGGGAGTAATGTTCAGGTCATCAGGCTGCTGGGTGCAAAGGAAGGTGTCCCTTAGACAATGGGGCTTTAGGACCTGGTTGCAAGGGGGAGATGCATTAGTTTCTCTCTTTTTTTTTGAGGAAGATTAGCCCTGAGCTAACTACTGCCAATCCTCCTCTTTTTGCTGAGGAAGACTGGCCCTGAGCTCACATCCATGCCCATCTTCCTCTGCTTTATATGTGGGATGCCTACCACAGCATGGCGTGCCAAGTGGTGCCATGTCCACTCCCGGGATCTGAACTGGTGAACCCCAGGCCACCAAGAAGTGGAACATGGGCACTTAACTGCTGTGGCACCGGGCCAGCCCCGGGTTAGTTTCTTATTGCTGCTGTAACAAATACTATAAACTTAGTGACTTGAAACGACGTGAATTTATCTTACAGTTCTGGAGGTCAGAAGTCCAGAATGGGTGGGCAGGGCTGCATTCCTTCTGGAGGCACTAAGGGAGAATCCCTATCCTTGCCCTTTTCAGCTTCTAGAGGCCCCCAGCATTCCTCGGCCTGTGGTCCCACATCACTCCAGCCTCTGCTTCTATCATCTCATCTCCTCTGACCCAGGCCGTCCTGACTCCCTTTTATGAGAACCTTGTGATGACATTGGACCAGAAAATCTCCCCATCTCAAGATCCTTAATTTAATCCCACCTGCAAAGCATCTCTTGCCTTGTAAGGGAAGCTAGTCATAGATTCCGTGGATTCAGGCATGTATGGGTGGACCCTGGCCCCCGCAAACTGCTCCCCCACTGGGCACCACAGCCTGATCTTCTGCCGTGGCTGAGTTGGGCCGCTGCAGGAATGTTCCCACTCAGCTCAAGCAGCATCTCGCTGCTCATGGGAACAGCTATAAGTGATGTGTGGCTCCAGCATGCAGTCTGGCAAGATGAGGCAAAAACCCCCAACAGGCACAGACCCTTTGACCCAGAAATTCCAGGAATTTATCCTAAAAAATGCACTCATAAGTGGCCAAAGACACATGTGCAGAGACACGACCTGCAGCGTTCCTCATGATCAGGGAAACGTGGGAACGACCTACATGTTCAGTAATGGGTAGCAGTTAAACAAACCATGGAACATTCACATGACAGAATCCAGTCCTGGGCGCCACCACAAATGATACAGGATGACTTGGAAATATGTTTATGATATACTGTTAAGTGAGGGAAAATAGGCTTCCAAATAATAGAGACAGTTGGCTCCTATTTTCATAAATTCACATATTTATATTTGTCATCGTTCTGCATTGGGAAAAGTGTGGAAGGATAGATACCAAACGGTCAGCTGTGGTTATCCTGGGGAGGGGGTAGGATTTCTTTCACCATTGGGCACCATTTAGGGAGGGCCTCTAGAGGCTTAGTACTGTGTTGGTTAGTAAGTAGGGCTTCTTCTGTCTTCATGGATTATAATCTCACGGGAGACTACTGGTTTGTTTTTTGGAGAAGGGGAGGAGGTTTTGGTGTAACTAAAATTATTTTCCCTACTTTCTAATGTTTCTCAAATGAACATTACTTGTGTAATTTTCTTTTTACAGTATACACTTTTCAAAATTATGGTAAAACATACATAACATGAAATTTACCATTTTAACTATTTTTAAATGCACAATTCAGTGGCGTGAAGGACATTTACAATGTTGTGTGACCATCACCACTATGCGTTTCCAGAACTTTCTCATCATTACAAATAGAAACTCTGTCCCCATTAAATAATAAGGCCCCATTTCCTCCTCCCCCAGCCCCTGGCAACCACCATTCTACTTTCTGTCTCTATGAATTTGCCTATTCTAGGTACCTCATATAAGTGCAATCATACAATATTTATCCTTTTGTGTTTGGCTCATTGCACTTAGCAAAATGTTTTCAAGTGTAATTTTTTTAAAAGAACACCTTTTGAGGGGAAAATGCAATTGCCAAGTTCTAGCAAATGCAAGCCACCCTGGACATCTTCCCAGGGACCCTCTGGGGCCTGGTGCAAGGATCTTTCCCAGGGACAGACACCAAGTGAGGCCGGGGAGGGGGTGTAACTGAACAGCGAGCAGAGAAAGGCCCTGGAGTCACACACACCAATTCTCGCAGCCCCATCACCCTGGAGCAGGCAGGAGACAGAGGGGGAGGGACTTGCCAGGGGCCCCCAGCTGAGCTGGGCAGAACTCAGGCTCCCACCTCAGCTCCCAGCGCCCTGGCTGCTGGCCTCCTGGTCTTCTAGGATGTTTGTAAACATCCAGAGACCAGAGCCCCTTCCAGGAACAGGCCTGCCTACTTGGTGACTGTGACAAGTGGAATTTCACTCTGCTGGAAACAATCCCCAGGGCTTTGTGTTTCTGAATCCAGGGATGAAGCCGCCTGGCTGAATAGTATACATTCTCTAAATTATTAAAGAGCCTGAAAGAGTGGCTGCCACATGGGGGCTACCAGTGTGAGTCCCCAGAGCAGCAGTTCACGTTCTCAGTGAGGCAGCAACGCCATGCCCCCAGCCCCCATCAGTTGCTCTGCTTCCTGGAGGGCAAGGGTCTGCCCCAGGGGTGCTGGGAAAGTCTCCCCACTCCCTGGGAGTGAGACTGACCCTTGTGAAAACAGGAAGGAACTCATTGTAGGGAGCCAGGTCTGCACTTTGGCAAGAACCTGGACTCCCTGTCACCTTTGACCTCCAGTGGCAGGGTGGGGCGGCAGGTCTGGGAGCCAGGCGGGCCTGGGTTCTGATCCTACCCTGAGAACTTCAGCATGGGATTTTTACTCTCTAAGCATGTTTTCATCCCATCTCTTAAATGGGGCTTACTGAAGCAGTGAAGCATCCTACAACTCCAGGGAGGCCCATTGCTATTTTATTCTACGTGAACAACCCCCCCAGCCACCGCGCCTGCCAAGAGTGGTGCAGTGGCCCTGGTCCAAACGTCCTGGAAGGACTGGAATATAAGGCATATAAGGGCTGGTGTGGCACCCTGAGCACGGGAAGCATCAGTTAAATGCTGGGGCTGTCAGAATTGCTGACTCAAGTCTCTCCACCCTCCACCCACCAGCCTTCCTTTCTGGCTGAGCTTTCTACTTCTTATGCTCCCCTAAGGCAGGAGACGAGACACCCACTCCCAGAGGATAGTCCCTGCATTTACCGATGGGGGATGGGGCCGAATGGAGGGAAGGCTGATGCTGGAGGCTGGCCCAAGTTCTGGCCTTGAGGATAACCTCAGGCAAGTTCTTTGCACAAGACTCTTGGGCTCAATGCTTGACAGAAGGAATGTCTGATAGGAGGTTCTGGAAAGACAAGGCTGCACATCATCCGATGACAGACCTTGAGTGGATGGAGTGATGTTCGCTGCAGGGCATCCCTCGAGTGCCAGGCTAAAACCCAGAGACACAACGACAGACGCAGATGGAGAAGCTGGACTTGTGGGCTCTGCTCTCCTGGGCTGCCTGGGATGGCAGAGGCTTCCTAGAGGAGGTGGCACTAGAACAGGAGCTTGAAGGAGGAGCAAGAGTTTAGGGGCCTGTGTAGGCAGCAAAGCCAGTGTGGAGGCTCCCCATGAGGGTCCAGCAGCCTCAGCCCTGCCTCCTCCTGGGGAGAGACAAACCAAGGTTTCCGGAAGCAGAATCCAGTGGGAAGGCCTACTTTCAAACCCTGCCTCTGCCATGCTCTGCCGTCCCACCCTGGCCAGTTACCCTCCTTCAGACCTCGATTTCCTCTTCCGTGCAATGGGGCAATTGTGCGGGGAGCTCAGAGAGAGTGTTAGGGAGACCTGGGGCCGGCCACTTTGGGATCCACACCTGTTTCCTTAGAATGATGTTTTTCTCCCCTGCTTAACAAATCTCTCAGTGTTTTAAGGCATCAGGACCAGACTCCCGCTGGGCACCTGTATCCTGGCAGAAACCCGGACATGGAGGGAAGGGAGCCCCAGGTGAGCAGACCTACAGAGAAATATTGATTGTATACCTAATACGTGCAGGACATTGTAGGGGTTGTCATTTCTTAGAAGCAGAGCCTGAGACAGGGGTCCTTGGAAAGTAGAGTCTTGAGAGAAGAGGAGTGAGTGGGCAGGAGGGAACAGGGGAAGATGTGGACAGGGAAGTGGTGCCCTCAGCTGGAATCTAGCTCCAGCCTGGTCCCCAGGGAGCTCTGGACTGGGAATTGCACCACAGAACTGGTCCCACCTCGGGGCAGGGGGCTGGCCTGTCAGGCTCCTGGTCAGCCACACACTGACCATTGCCTGGCGTGGGGTGGGGTGTAAACTCTGACCAGGCAGGCTCCATTTTGCCAAGGGCAATTTTCCAGAGAAGGGGCAGCTGTGAGCAGTCGGCAGCCAACTCTCCCAGCAGCTGGGGATGGGTGCCCCCGAGAAAGGGAGTCTGGGCCTGTTCCCTTCAGTGTGCTCACAGAGGTGAGTCGGCAGTTCTACACGTTCTTCTGCCCTTAAGGAGCCACTAGCTTATCGACTTCCCTGTCTGCACGGGCTCTTGGGCATATTTGGGGAGTTGCTTGCAGAAAGGCCCTAAGTAAACAGGTGGGGATGAGATTTCCAGAACTTTCCTGTCCCTCTCCTCTTCCCCACTCAGCACCCCATTCAGTGTCCCACTCAGCGTCCTGGGACACTCCAGGGAGGAAAAGGCTCAACCCAAACCCTTCCCCTTCCCTGCTCAGGAAGGAGCCCCAGGGGAGAGGAAGGGGCTTCACCAAGGCACCATAGAGTTAGGGCTAGGACCCAGGTCTTCTGACTTCCAGTTCTTTCCTGGCCAGGGAGAAAGCCTATGACAGATCCTCCTGTAAGGAGGAGCAGAGTCTCCTTTTTGGGGGGTGAGGGTGGGCAAAGCTCCCTTGGTGAGCAGAGGCAGGCTCCCTTCTTACTCTCTGGCCTCGGGCATGTTGATTTAGCCAGCTGGATAACCCAGGCTACAGTCAGACCAAGGAACAAGGATGCAGCAATCCTGGGGCCAGCCAGCAGCCTGGAGGGAAGCTAAATGCCACGACTTAGCTTGGAAAGAGCCCAGGGCAGCTGCCTGAGGGGTTCTTAACGGCTCGGGGTGTCTTGCTGCCAGTGTCTTAGGCTCTAGAGAAGGATGTGACTTTTGGTTTTAAATGGTTTCCTTCCAGATAATCCCTTCACCCATCCACAAGGAAGGAGTCTTCACCAGCCCTGACGCCTATGGTGGCCTAAGCCTAGCTCATCCTGGAAGGCGGGGGGTCTTGCTGTAGCTGTCAGCGAGGACCAGTGCTCCACCTGCAAGCAGAGAAGCCCAGAGCAGCTCTGACTCTCAGACTGCTCCATCCTTACTGGCTCCTTCTTGTCCAAGGATGCACTGAATGGAGCAGTTGCCACAAGTGCAGTATGTACTGCTTCTTGATTGTCAAGAGGCACCCCCATTTTATAGAGAGCAAAAGTGAGGCCGCCTGAAGCAGCCAAATTTACGAAAGAAACAGTGGTGGCAGAACTGATGCTTGGGGCCTGAACTGCAAATGTGGAATCCTCTGTGCAGGTCTGATTGTCCCAAGTCAAGGCCAATGTGGTAGATGGAGAACAAAGGGGCAACTGAAATGAGAAAGGGGGTGGGCAAGTGATCGCAGGAAGAGGAGCCTCACTTTGGAAGGATAAAGACAGAGAGGGGATGAGATCAGAAGCTATGCGGTCATGAATACTACTTAAAGGCAAACGTGGCCTGGCTTCTCAAACCTCAGAACCCTTGAGAAGCGTGAGAGAAGTGAAGTCCCACCTCTTAACTGAACAAGACTCACTAACCCTGAGAGGTGAGAGGATAAATGGATTCAGAAAATGTTTAGAGCAACTCATAGACGGGTGTGCCACAAAACTAGGTTTGTGATTGGGGCATATTCCTGCTGCATTAGTCAGGGTTCTCGAGAAGCAGAAGCAATACAATAAATATAGGCTGAGAAGCCCCACCATCTGCCGTCTGCAAGCTGAAGACCCAGGGGAGCCACTGGCGTAAGTCCCAGTCCAAGTGTGAAGACCCAAGAACCAGGGGTGCCGATGGACAGGAGGAGATGGATGTCAGCTCAAGGAGAGAGCAAATTCACCCTTCCTGCACTTTTTTTGTTCTATTCAGGCCTTCAGTGGATTGGATGATGACCACCCACATTGGTGACAATGATCTTTACTCAGTCTACCCATTCGAATGCTAATCTCTTCCAGAAAAACCCTTACAGACATGTTTTACCAGCCATCTGGGCATCCCTTAGCCCAGTGAATTTGACCTGTAAAATTAACCATCACACCCGCCCTGTCCAAATGCCCCTTCCACAGAGTCCTGGGCTGGTACCACAGAAAGTTCTCGTACTCAGGGATGATCTAGTCCAGTCCTTTCCACGGATGGCCATCCTCCTAAATGCAATCAGGTCTCGCCCAAAGCACTGGGCTCTGTGCTGAGAGACAGGCAGACAGGGCTTCCTTGCTGAATCTTGATTTCTCAGAGGGTTTACACAGGAAGAGAGGGCCACAACATGCTGGAGAGAGGGAGAGCTTTCTGGGAGGTAACTGGGCATTATATTTCAAGTCCTTGAAAATGTGCGCCTTCCCTGACATGACAACCGCACTTGTAGAAGTAATCTATAAATAATCAGGGCTGCAGATCAAGATCTGGAACAGGGCAGTTCATCACGGCATTATTTATAATAACAAACAGTAGGTAACCCAGTGGCTAATGGTGACTATTGGTAAAATAAATTATGGTACAACCATGCAACGACATACCATGCAGCTGTTAAAAATTGTGTTCTCAAAGAATGTTTGAATAAATGGGGAAATGCTCATAGTATATACCATAGGTTAAAAAAAAGAGAATACAAAACTGCATATACCGATGCAGTCCGATAGAATTCTGTGATGATGGAAACGTTTGACATCTGCACTGTCCAATATTGTAGCCACTAGTCACTTATGACTACTGAGCACTTGAAATCTTTGGCTAGTGTGACTGAGGAACTGAATTTTGAATTCGAATAAATTTAAAATTTAAATAGCCACACGTGGTTAATAGCTTCAGTATTGAGCTGCACAGGTACGGTATAATTCCAACTGTATTAAGAAAAGGTATGTAAAAACAAAGGAAAAAAGATTGAAAGAAAGGATCTGGAAATGCATATAGTAGTTTTCTCTGTTAGTGAGATTATGGGAGATTTAAATTTTAATTTTTCTGCTTTCAAATATTCCGACAATAAACAGTTTCATTCTATAATGGGAACGATAAGAGAGGGGTAGCAGAAGGGGGAAGAAGAGAGAGGAACAGCCATTGCAGGCACGGCTCCTGTTGGCGGGAAGGCCCCAGCGCTGGCGGAGCTGGCCAAGCTGGCCTGGGAGCCGGGGTAATCTGCCTCGCACAGGGCTTGTTTTGACAGGAGTGTTGTGCCTCTGGTGGCTTGGGGCTTCTCCAAGTGGCAGGGCGACCTAGCTGACACGCTACAAACTCGATTTAGCTGGTGTGAGCATGTGTGTGTGTGCACGTGGGTCTTGCCATCTGTTGCCAACCTGGCAGTGAAGTGTTGCCTCCTCAGCTGTGTTTGTTGAGACTTGGGCGGATTTTGTTGTTTGAATTTCTTGCTTGCTTCCCAGGCCTTACTTCAGCTGCTTCTCCGAGTTCCTGTTAACTTTAAGGAGCTTCCAGCTAAGCTCTTTGCTGGCCCTCCAAAGCCTTTGAGAATCGGAGAAAGCTCCTGCAGGTGGGTCTCAGCAGACAGCACGGAGGAGACCAGGGCCTACTCACTATGGTTTGCTGGTGCGTCAGGAATTTAGGAGTTTGAATTATTTGAAGTGGCAAGAATAAAGGAAGATGGAATTTTCCTAAATACATAGCTGGAGGCTTTTTAAGTTTTTATAAGTAGGGAGGCCATAGTAGTGGTTCTCAAACTTCAGAGAGCTTAAGAACCGCCTGGCCTGGCTGCTTGTTAGAAATGCAGATTCTTAGTGTTAAACCCCCAGGATTATTTACACCCCCCTCCCCACCCCGCATTTTACGGATGCAGAAATGGCAGGCAGGGGAGACAGAGCGCCAAGCCATGGCCTGAGGGCACCTGCTAGTCAGCAGAGCTGGGATTAGACTCGGCTGTCCTGACTCTCCAACATGCGTGTCTTTCACTATATCCTGCTGCCTCTCAGCCGCCTGCGGCTGATGTTTGCCGTTAAGGAAAGCGTTAGATCAAAGTGAGGTCCAACCAATTCTATAACACCAGCTCGATGTCCAACCATTCAATTCAATCCTGTCCCTGACTACTCAGAGTTCCACTCTACTCCAACAGAACTGTGAAGTCCAGCTAGAGACAATAGTAAAGATGAGGCAATCTGATTAGGCAATCTGATGAGGCGTCTGGGACAGAGAGGGCCCACTCTGCCCTAGACAGTGCCCTCAAGCACCCAAAGAACTTCGACTTAAAAATGTCTTCCAGCGGCCGGCCCAATGGCCAAGTGGTTAAGTTTGCACGCTCCACTTTGGTGGCCCAGGGTTTCACTGGTTCGGATCCTGAGCGTGGCCATGGCACCACTCGTCAGGCCGTGTTGAGGCAGCATCCCACATGCCACAACTAGGACCCACAACTAGAATATACAACTATGTGCTGGGGGGATTTGGGGAGAAAAAGCAGAAAAAAAATTAAAAAAGAAATGTCTTACATTTGCCAGTTAGGGTGCCTCAAACGTGGGCAGACTTAGGTTATAACGCAAAGATGTTAACTGGGAGAAGTAGGGCATTAAATCATTAACAGAAATTAGTGGGACTAGTCAAAGAGGATAGCTTCCTGCCCTCCCTGCAGAGGAGAGCAGGGCAGCTGGCCCAGCAAGTCTTCCACACCCTGAGGAGTCTGGCCACACCTCCCACTGAGAGAGGGCACCCACAGTAGCCTCATGTCAGAGCTGTGGCCCAAGGGCCTTGGGGACAGCTCAGGATGCTGAGCAGAGTTTCAAGAAAGACAGCTCCATAACTTCCACTAGAAAACCCAGACATTGACTGTAATTCACTGTGGTGTCTTCAAATCTCAAGCTCATTTATCCAGGTCAGGAACCATTTATTTGCATCTAACAAGTCGAGGCCTGCCGCACCTTTCTAACACATGGCCTGTTTGTGTCTTGTCTCTGTGCATCTGTCGAGGCTGTGTGGGTGAAGGAAAGGCTGACTCAGCAGGCCTCGCACCATCGGCTGTGCTGAGAGGGGGCAGAGGGCCTGGCACAGACCCGTCAGCTCTCCCAGCTGCCACCTGCTTTTCAGAGAAAGGGGAGTTGGAGGGCACCCATGTGAGTCACTCCTCTCCTGAGGAATGTTCCCAGGAGTTGCTTGCTGGGGGTCATTCTGGAATGCCTGCTAGCCCAGAATGGAATGTGGAGAAAGCTCCTTGACACCCAGCAAGCTCATCACCATGGCAACCCTTCCATCCCTGAAGTCCATCCCTTGGACCTCTCTCTTGTAAGGAGACAGACAGAGGTGATACAGGTTTAAATGTGGGCTCGCTTGTCTTTCTTTTTAAAAAATTACCTTGAAACATTTCAGATAAATAGGTATAATGAATAATGTAAGAAGTATCTGTGTCCTCATATCCCAATTTAAGATAAAACCTCATCTGCAAATTAAGCTCCTTTTTATCTTTCTCTGATCATGTAATCTTCCCTATCCCATGAGAGGTAACCACCATGCTGAGTTTGGTGTTTATCACCCATTTATTTATATATGACTATGTTTATATATGTATTTTTATGTATAATGATATATATATTCTGAACCAATGTATAGTATCTTCAGCATGTTAAAATTTTTTTTTTATTGAGGTGAGATTCACATAACATAAAATTAACCATTTTAAAGCTTACAATTCAGTGGTATTTAGTGCATTCACAATGCTGACAACCATCACCTCTACGTCCACATTTTGAACTTGTATAACTGGGATCGTATGCTAGGTCTTTCGCAACTTCCTTATTGCATCAATGCTGATTACGAGCTTCGTCCATTTCATCGCTGTATCATATTCCACCGTGTGACTATTTCACAACTGATCCTTTCTCCTAACGGGCGTTGGGTGGTTTCCAAGTTTTTATGATCACCTCGTCCTACCTCCTTGTGCACATGCTGGTGCTTCTCTAGGACATCAACCCAGGAGTACAGTTGCTGTGTCAAGGGCCAAGTGCAGTTCCAGATTTATTCACATAAGCTTGGCTGTCTTGAGGGGCTGGAAGCCAGGCGCACAATTTAATTATGGTAACTTAACAGTTAGGTACTGTATTTCATTAATGAAATGCTGTCAGGGAGGCAGAGCAGGATTATTAACATCATTCTTAGCAACTTTTTGAAGATGGAATCTGAGACTCAGAGGATCTCAACCTGGATCACAGCACTAGGATTTAAGGTTAGGGGCAGGATACCAACCCCAGTGTATTTGACCCCAATAATGCTCTCCTTGTGTTAACCTCCGTCCTCCCCTCCCTCACATAGCTACCTTGTACCTTACTTGAACAAAGATCAGTCCACCCTATCAGCTGAGATCACAGGGAAAGCTCACTGGCAGACCACAGGGAGGAGACCCTGCAGGAGGGTCTTTGTGGTTAGGGCCATTCCAGGCTGCAGGGGACCAGGGAGGAATCTTCTGGATTTCCACATCCCTCTTTCTTTGTTGTGGTCAATTTGCCTGTGCACAAAGACTGCATCTGACAGTATTTTTGGATCTAAGTTGGGCTAAGAGGGCACACAAAAAAAAGCTGCAGAAAAAAAAGACTTTACAGAAAAGTCTGAGGCAGAAACTCTGGGCACGCCTATAAGCCAGGGAAGGAGGTACCGTGGGAGTGGCACTTAAGATACCCTGACTCTCCAAGATGCAGTCACCTGGCACCCAATCCCTCCTCCCCTCACTCCCTGCCAGGCAGCATCCTAAAGAGGAGAGGGCAACTCTGCTTCCACTGCTTAGTACGGAAACTTGGTTCTGGAGCACAGCGTATGCATGAGTGACACCACCATGAGGCCTGAGGCTGTCTAGGTGAGGCAGCGCACTACCCCCATGCAGAGAGTGGTTCGGATGCTGCCCCAGGGTGTAGGCAGGACTGGAAGCTGAAGCCAGTGCACCTAGGCCTTTGCTGTACTTCTGACACAAACTTTTGGCACCAGTGTGTGCCAGCTGCCATTCTTTTCAACTGCAAGCACCTCTTCATCTTTGGTTCTTCTGATCCCTTACAATCAAGTCTTGCCTTTCCAACGTGAATCCTCCATTATGGAACTGGGATCCAGAAGGCGATGAAAGGCTGTTTAATCTTGCCTGCACCAGACCCCCCCATCTTGCCCTTCAGTCCTAAGATGTAGGTGTGATCACTGGCTTTTCTGCAGTTTGACCTTAGGCAAGTTTCCTCTTCTGAAAAATGAAGAAAGGATCTGATGAGATAAGCTGTGAGGAAGCACTGGCACAAGGGACCACTCCATCATTTGTTGGTGAAGCTAAGAGCTTCTGATCCTTCCCCAGGAATCCACCATCTCATACCAATTCCTATTTGTTCACTTCTGCTTTCTGGTAATTAAAAGAGTCATGGGGCCAATCCTGGTGGCCTAGTGGTTAAGTTCGGCATGCTCTACTTTGGCGGCCTGGGTTCACTTCCTGGGTGTGGACCTACACCACTCGTCTGTCAGTGGCCATGCTGTAGTGGCGGCTCACATACAAAAAGAGGAAGATTGGCAGTGGTTGTTAGCTCAGGGCAAATCTTCCTTGGCAAAAACAAAACAAAACAAAAGTCATGTACTCTTATCCAACATGCCTGAGCCATTCCAGTTCTGGCTAAAGGCTGCTACCAAATGCCTGAAGACTGTACTCTCAAGAGCCTGTTCTGGGTCCTTTCCCTCCTGCCACGCCACGCCAACCACACTGTGCCACGCTAACGACCCCACATCACACACCTCCTCTGTTCAGCTGACAGCACGAGGCAGCACAGCACCTGGAGGGCCCTGTCACCTGGCCTGCCTGGGCACCAGAAGCACCATCACTCCACTCCTTTCTAGGAAGATTCTCCTCGTCCTTCTGTGGGGTCAGCCTTCAGCTAGCCTGCTGCACCTGTGCAGTTCTCATGGCCTCAGGCACCAGCTAAGCGCCTGCCAGGGTTCTTAGTCCAGCTCCTCCTCCTCAGCTCTGACAGTGTACAGCTCTCTCAAGATTTAGTTCTTAATGCGGTCCCTTCTCCCCTAGAGACCTTATACAGAATTCCTAATTAGAACACCTTGTTCCTCAGGAAATAGGTGAGAACACATAAAGAAGCTTGTTTTATTCTTTGATCTTACACTGTTTTAGGGCAGTTTTTTCAGTAATGGGAAGGTACCAGATGCCCTGAAAACCTGACACACCCATCTGGGACAAGGAGAAGACAAAGACTGATGGCAAGAGCAAGGCCAGGAACCTCAACGCTCAAGGATTCTCTGGACTCTGCAGGCCAGCCAGGAAGCGTCCTCAGGCCGTCCTCTTGTCCTTCACGCCATGGCAAGGGAGGCGCATGGTCACCAACAAACGGCTGCTGAACTGCCTCTCAGCACTGACTCAGTCTTTCCACTTCCTGCAAATATTTTCCTTGACATTTCCCAACTCCTGGATAAAGGGCCATCACTTCCTTTGGGAGTTGGGCAGATTAGTTTTCACTAAATGTGGATGTGCAGAGCCAGATAAAATACTATCCACTTGTTCTTAAAAACTATGGGCTAGATGGTGTCTGCCATCTTGCAAACAAGACTCAGATAAAAAAGGTGATTCTTGATTGCAGATAACACAACTCAATCAGCCCCACCACTCAGCCTGGCTGCCACGGGCCCACTGGGAAAGGCCAGGCATTTGCTGAGGCAGCTCTCAGTCCTTTGGAGAGTGAGGGAGGAAGAGGTCAGGACAGGTAGCAATGCTGACTGAGAAAGTAGGTCCTGCCAAGGACAGAGATGGAGCTCAGGCAGGAGCACAGACGACCAAGAGGAAGGCCCAAGGGTGGTCCATGCCTGCCTCAGGCGCCCACATGGATGCCCACACCTCACCCTCTCCAGATTTCACCAATTGCTGAATCATGCAGGTCTGCTCCTTAGTGGCTGTGTCATTTCCTTCATATTTTCTCCTACACCTTAGTCCTCTGCCTGGGTCCCTGACTGGCAGCCAAGGCACATTTCATTCTGCAGCCACAGTGCTCAGCCCACTGTGGATGGTCAGGAAGGGCTAAGAAGACACACATATCCTGGGGTCTGGTTTACACCTACGAGAAACAATCACACATTTGGAGACCAACTGCGCACGTCCAAGGACCTCTCTTGCTGGCAAATTCCACCATCCCTTGGAATTGATCCACAACACTATGAAGTGAATATAGGCATCAGAGGAGGTGCTTCAAAGTCTGAGAGATGAGGGGGCCAGCCCGGTGGTGCAGCAGTTAAGTTCGCACGCTCCACTTCAGCGGCCTGGGATTTGCAAGTTCGGATCCTGGGTGCGGACCTACGCACCACTTATCAAGCCATGCTGTGGCAGGCGTCTCACATATAAAGTAGAGGAAGATGGGCACGGATGTTAGCTCAGGGCTAATCTTCCTCAAAACAACAACAACAAAAAAGTCTGGGAGATGAGATGACATAGAATCTGTACAGATTAGTTTCCAAGTTGTCAAATAAGCACAGGATCTTAGGAGGTGGAGAGCAGGGCTTCTGAAGGCTGCCCATTCTGTCCTGGAATGGCTGGAACACCTCAAAGTCCTTATAAACAGCTCAATTCTGCCTCTCTGGGACAATTGAAAAAAATGATTATCAAAAACTCAAATCTATATAAAAGTAGAGGTAATACTGTAAAGAACATGATGTATTCCTCACCCAGCTTCAACAGTTACCAATACACGGCCCATCTTGTTTCATCTCTAACCCCACCCACTCCTCTGGGACAACTGTCAAGACCAAATGGAGAAAAGCCTGTGGATTTATTACAAAGAACTGAGTGTGCTGGGTACCCTGGTTGGCTGACCTATCACCTACTCCTAATT